TCTCAGGTAAAGATTAAAGCCTGTACGTGTGGAGGAGCTGCCTAAGGCTATTCAGGGAGAGAGAGGAAGGAGGGCTACTCCCTCCCCCAATGCCCAGCACCTCAGTGACCCCTCGAAGGTGTGGAGGCACATGGGGGGGGGTGCAGAGGGCAAGTGCTGGGGAGACGGACCGGACTCCCTGCAGATCCAATCACACAAAGCTCAAATGTTGATTTACTCGCTACTTAGAGGTTATTTTGCACTTTCTAAATTACATATTTTAACGTCTAAAATATACGTAATAATGTAATCACTATTATGTTGATTAACTTTCCAACGCCTCTTTAGCTATATTGGTTCCCTTAAATCCAAATCACTATATTTTTTCCTTGGCTCAGATTTAAACTTCCCCTAAAACTCAAAATCTCTCTGTATCTGCTTATGGATTCCTGAGTTACCCTTTGCCAAAGCTTTTATTCCTGGGAATCGTGGAAGAGAAGTCCCCCAATGGTTCCTATCAGGGATTTTCTACCTGTTACCATCAGAGGGCGACTTTCAGTAATTTCCTGGGTCTAGGCTCCCTCTTGGGGTGTAATTTCAAATTGCTCCCTAATGTCATTCTTTTCCTCTTCCATTAAATCTCTCTGGGACCCAGTCACGTCCCCAAACCTACCGTCATCGAAACATCTCCCCAACCCTTTGCCAGCTCAGTTCCCAAATGGCAAAGCAGTTAGGTCCAGACAGAAAAATCAGAGGGACATTCTTCTTTTCTTTCATGGAAGTCGAGTTTTGACATTTCAGCTCTTGTACCTTCCCGAGTATCGATCTCTCTTCGTTCCTCGGTGATACATCCCTAGTTTGCCTTCTGTCATTTGTAAAGCTAACATTCTCAAGCCCTAGTTCTCTCTTCCTTTGAGACACCCAGCAGACGCTGCCTGCTGGTGGGCGCCCTCCCACTGTTTGGGGGCCAGCCTGACTCCCTAAGTAAAGGCATCCCAGATGCAGGTTCTCATAGTGAGCTCTCGGCCTTTGAGATGGTATTGTGTCATTCTTCTTGTAAGCAGGGGCCTCTCTGTCTTCGTGTCGTCATTGCTGCACTGCTGTGGTGTTCGCACACGTGATCGGGTCCTGACTAATGGACATACCAGGGCCAAACGGAGAGCACAGAGCGGAGGGTGGGTCAGCAGGGGCAGACCTCAGAGAGGCTGTGGATAAGCCATAGAAATCCCTTCATATTGGTTCCATGCTGATTTTTCCTTGCACCTGGTATTTCTTCTTTAAGAATAAGATAAGCCCTGGCTGGGTGGCTCAGTTGGTTGGAGGAGCATCATCTTGTGCACCGAAAGGTTGCAGGTTCACTCCCCAGGCAGGGCACACACCTAGGCTGTGGGTTCGATCCCTGGTCAGGCCGCATATGGGAGGCAACCAATCGATGTTTCTGTCTCTCACAAAATCAATAAACATACCATCCTCAGGTGAGGATTAAAAGAAAAGAATAAGATAAAAAAGGAAGAAAGTCTGGGATGGCTATCTAGTCTCACCAACAGTGCCTGTCACTAATAAGCCCCCAAATCTCATGTAGTCTACCTGGAACTTTTCTGTGAGTTTTCAGTTATTCATTCGATCAACAAACGTTTGCTGCATGTCTGCCATGTGCCAAGTGCTGCTGTTCCCGGCACTGGGGATACGGCGGTGAAGCAAGCATGGGAAATCCTTGCCACGTTGGCACACATGTCCTCATGAAGGAGACAGATAATAAATGAACAAATATACACACTCAGGTAAACCTAAGGGGCTCTGAAGCATGACAAGGCATAGTAAAGAGACAGAATGGGACTGGGAGAGAGTGACTATTTGGAGAGTGTCATCCTCAGGAAGCTCTTGCTGAAAAGGTGACAGTGGCGCAGAACAATGAACAAAGCGAGGGAGCAAGTCATAGGAATTCTTGGTGAAGAGTGTCCCAGAGAACAGAACTAACAAAAGCCTGAGAAAGCTTCTTGCTGTTCCCTGAACCTCAGCGTGTTCAAGGAGTAGCGAGGAGGCCAAGATGGCAAGAGCCGCTGGCACGGCGGAGACGCTGGCAGGCAGTGAAGTTAGGGAGGGGAAGGGGAGTCACACGGGCTCTACATAATGTGCTAAGGAGTTTGAATTTTATTCTAAATGATACGGGAAGGTATCGACAGGCTTTGAGCAGAAAAATTCTGTGGGGTTTTTTTTATATTAAAAAATATTTATCTACAGAAATACATTTGCTTCTTTCTCTCTCTTCCTGTGGGACTTTTTCACTGTCTCTGGGCCAGAGGAAGTGTTCACGAGGACATAGCAGTAGCAGGCCCCGTTTGCAGACTGGGGGAAACGGCACACTTACAGTTCATAGACTCTTCCAAAGGGCCACAGAAACATCACTTAGAATTCTTTCTCGTAAAATGCCTGTGATTTCTTAAGGGAAATAGAGCTGGTAAGAACCGCCAATGTGCAGTCTGATCTCTGTCTGATATATTGTTCCTTCCCTAACATCGCTTCCCCTTTTTCCCCTCACGCACAAAGATGACTCATCTCAAAGAAAGTTATCCTTGTGTTTAGGCAGCCCCGAGGGGAAGGGAGCTTGGGGTAGGCCAGGGCCGTTGAAAAGCAGTCACATTTGAAAAATATGTGGAAGATGGTATCTTTAGGACTTGACGATGGACAGCTTGGATGTGCAGCGGATGGAACGAGAGACATCCAGGATAACTCTCAAGTGTTTTTTTTTGCCCGAACAACAGAATTAATGGCAGTTGCACTTACTGAGATAGGAAAGGCTGAAGGAGGAATGGGCTTGGAGGGGAGGGAGAATCGAGAATTACTTGGGACTTGTCAAGTCCGAGATGCCCGTTAGATGTCCCGAAGCAGACACAGACCACAACTGTGTCTCTCCCCCAGCCCCAGTGTAAGCTCTGAGAGGAAGGGACCTTCCATCTGTCTTGTTTACATCTGTACTCTTGGAACCTAGAAGAGGCCTGGCAGGTGTGTAGTAAATATTTGCTGAATGAATGAAGAAATAAATGAATAAAAATGAGCCTGAGGCTTTTGTTGGAAGTCCTGGCCTGCAGCCCTGGCTAAGCAGAATGATAAAAAACAGACTGTGGCAAAAACACACACACACACACACACAAAAAAAATCCCATTTATCAATGCCTGCAATACTGAGTGAAAGCAGAGTTGAAGGAGTATCTTCCCTCTGTGAGAGCTCAAGCCCGAATTTCTGGACAGACCTGCCACGTGAAAGAAAGGGGAACAAGGTGAATAGGGGGCCAGAGTCTGAACAGGGGAGTGAGGCAAACCCATTTCTGCAATCTTTTCACTTATAGGATCTCCCCAAAGAACAAAGGAAGCCCAAAGCGCGAGATAAATTTCCTTCTTGAGGGAAAGCAAAGTGGGAAAGGGAGAAAGAAGTGGCCTCGAGAGCTTCCTCCCCACCCTCAATCCCCATCCCCCTGAGCCTCCAAATACCAGTGTATTTAAAGCTTTTGCTAGCATCAAAATTCAACATGTGGTTTGGTATAAAAATGTAATGTATAAAAGAATAGGTATAGCTTGGTGTGATCATGCATTCTCCTGAGTCCCTGCTGCTGGCTGTCACACCAGGCAAAGACTGATGTTACTTAGAAGAAAGGGAAGGCCCGAGAAGATTTAAAAAGCGAGAGAGTGAGGGGGAGTTTCTTGGTTCAGCATCACTGAGATGCCAATAAATTAGTGCTAGATGCCCAGAGCCCACCTTTGGGGGGTGGACTCATGTGGGACACTATGTCTCCCACATCAGGGTAGAATTCTGTGACACTAATAAATCCACTCTCCTAGAGAGGCACCCAAATTAATCACTTCTGTTTCCTAAGCCATTGTCTTACAATGGGGTCTGTGACGCTTGGATCTCGAAGCTGAGAATCAATGACTTTGTTCCCCGGCTCCATTAAACCAGATCCAGAGGAAGGCTCTGGAATGAAACGTGCCAGTGGGGCTGAGAGGGGGCCCTCAATCAGAAAGGCACGTCCTCCCTCCCCTTCACGCGTCACTCCACCACACTCCAAGCATTTAGGAATTTGCCATGGCGGGCGTCTCTAGTCCCCTGGTCTTTCTTGTGACCGCCTTCCACCCCTTACTGTCCTTCTGGTATATGTAAAAACCTTAATTTTTTTCCTTTTTGTTTCCTCTTTGGTTCCCATATTCCTGACACTACAACAACTTCCATTCTTTCCTGGGAGCACATATTTTTAACCCACAGATTTATAAACAAATTTCATGGCTTTGAACCTCCCAGATTCCCAATCTCCTGCTTTTCTTTATATTTCTCTATTTCTGGCAGTCTTTCTTAGCTCCCTATTTATACCAGTGTGGCTATTACTTCTGCTACATTTTCCTCCTCATAAAGGTCATTAGCTCCGAAAATCAATTTCCATTCATTCATCGCTGAATAATGCTAGTTCTGTTGAGACTCCATGTTGGTCAGCAGATGAGAGAAATGGATTTATAAACTGCGGTCCCACTCTGCCCACGGATGGCAGGCAGGTTGCTGGGCAAAGCTGTCTTCTCAGTCTCCCATTTGTAGCAAGCTTTCATTTTTGCTTTGCTGAGGAGATAACTTTCTGAAACCCTTCTTTCCTGGTTCTCCAGGGTCTGGACCAGCACAGAACAGTAAAACTATAGCAGCAGCCAGCACACTGAAGGATTTGAGGTACCAGACATATCTCCTCCCCCTACAGGTTCTGAAGCAATTAATAAAAACATTCAAGAATCAGATAAGTTCCAAATATCAGGGATATTTGTTGTTGTTAGAAGGTGGTTTGGAGATTGTGGCTGGAGCCTGAATATACATTTGGCCTCCTAGTACCTCCCTGTAGTCATTGATAAACGACAGCCCTCCCCCTGACGAAGGAAGAACCTCCCCAGAGACCTCATGACATGTTGCTGGCAGACTTTTTAAGAAAGGAAGAGCCAAAATGGGATAAGCTGCCTTGCCCAGCTCTCCATGCCACTACTTTTTCACCATGGAAGGAAAGAAGGGCAGGTACCACCAGAGCTGTCAAAAGGGTAGACGTTTCCAGTTCCTATAGAGGTTTCTATTTCAGAAGTCGGAGGAAAAGAAGAAGATGGTTCCACGAAGAGTTCTTGCTGCCTCGTGCCCTCACTTACTGCTCTCTGCTCCTAAGGCCACCTTTCCCAGCATGCACTGTGCCACCGCAGGCACTGCATCCTCGCTGCCCAGCTGTTCCCTAACTGGGGTGTGAGGTCTCCTTCTGGACATGGAAAGTTGCGGAGGGGAAACCATTCGTTAAGTCCTGTCATAGATCAAAATCCAGGGCTAGTAGAAACAGATGATCAGCCTGAGTTTTCGTTGATGCAGCCCCCCCACCCTGCCCCACCGTGTCTGAAAAAGAAGGCAAGTAGGGGGGAATGGGTGGTGGCTTTTATCAGAGGGTCTCTATTCAAGCAAATCTTGGCTCTTCCAGGAACTCAAGCCTAGTAGGTTTTTTTCATTCTAGATGCATCTGCCTTATAGCTGGTTGTACTGGATTGTTTATTAAGCTTTGGTAATTTTTGTGAGTTTTTTAAAAAATCATTTTCAATACCTTCAAAAGCTGCAGTTTAGATGCTTTGAGGTAGAGGTTCTCCTCCCATCTGCATGAGTTGTCCCTTCCCATGACTTCTGTGGCTCCTTTCTCCTGGTGCGCCTTCATCCTCCGGCCACTCCCTTTCAGTGTGATGCTCTGCCTTTGGTGTCTGCAACCTCTGGGGCTCTGTCCTGTGCCTTGGCATTCCTCCCGCTCGATCTCATCTACGCCAACGGCTTCCACCAGCCTGTATGCTTGAGGCTGACTCCCAATGCATAATTCTGTCCCAAGCCTCTCTCTCTTGAGCTCCAGACCCATATTTTAAACCATTTACTAGGCAGCATCCACATTTGCACCTCATACTCAACTGACCAAATCCAAAATCCCTCAAACTTGGTCCATCATTTTATTGTCTAATTTAGTAAATTGCACCTCCATTCCTTCCTGTAACCAAGCTAAAGAAGTGGTTCTATCCATTAGCCCATAGAGCCAATTATTATTAATTAGGATAGCTTCCCAATACCCCCTTTTTAAATCCTTCTTTACTGCCAACACCTCCCTTTGGAGTTTGTAAGAGTTTAAGTCTTTTGGTTGCAAACAACAGAAATGAACTCTAAGTTAAACAAAGAAAGGGGGGTGGACGTATTTGAAAGGATGTTGGGAAAGCTCACAGGACTGAAGGGAAAACTGAATAAGCATGCTTTAGGGCAGGCTAGATCTAGGGCGACCCTGGAGAGCTCAGCGGGTGCAGCTCAGTCCTTCTGTCTGGGACGCTGCACGGGGTAACTTGGATGCAGTCATCTTTCATCTCTGTGTGTCTTTATCAAACTTTCAAGTTCCTAGTAGAGAGAATCCGGTTGACCATCTTTAATAAGCCACACAGAGCTAGAAGACAGGGGTGAGTGGCACAAATCTGTGAGCACTTTTCCAGTCTATGCTCCTCGCATCTTTAAAATCTACAGTTCACACTACCACCATTTGCAGCTCTAAAATATATACCATTCAATGTTTCTCCTTAGTTGAAATTCCTCGATAGCCCTTCATTACTCAGAGAATAACCTACAAGCTTCTATCAGGGACTTCACTCCAGGATTTGGACCCTGGCTACCTTTCTAGTCTCATCTCTTGCTACTCTTCTGTTAAATCTTCTGTTCCAAGCATACCACAGTTATTAGCAATTCCCATAAACAGGTCATGCTTTGTTCTAGCCTCATGTTTTTGCTCCCTCTTTCTCAAATACCCACACTCTCTTTGCTTCACCTGACCAAATCCTGGTTAACTCACACTCCTCTTTCCACACTCACTTTAGGCATCGGATCTGACTCTTTCCCAGTCTCTTCTCATCTGAGCTAAGTGCTCTTCCTCTGTGCTCCGACTGCATCCTGAACTTATCTGTAATTTAGACATTGCAACCTGTTGCGTTCATCTCTTTCCTTGTCCCTCCTCCTGGCCCAATATCCGACTTATGTTTGGTTCCCAGTAGCTACACGTCATAAATATTAGGTAAATATATTGAAATAAACAACTATTGGTTTTGAATGCTTAATAACAAAGCACTGTGGGAGAAAGAAATACATATATATAATTTCACATTTCTACATTCAGTGGCCTTACTGCCTAGGAGGTAAACAATATTTACACAAATTGAAAGTATAGGTAGAACTACAAAATGCTGTCCAACTTCATGCACAAAAAACAGTGTCCAGAGGCTAGAATTTGAAATCAAAGTGATCCAGCAAGTCTTCTCTGAAGATGAAACACTTGAGCAGGAACGTAAAGAAGATTCAAATGGTTTGAAGAAGGTGGGAGAGTGTTTTAAGTATGGGAAGCGAGAGAAGAAGGCTCATTATGCTTGAGGAACGGAGGGGAAACATTGGCCAAGAGAGAGACTGATTAAAATATGGTGAAAAGGGCAGTGTGTGTGTGTGTGTGTGTGTGTGTGTGTGTGCGCGCGCACGCACGCGTGTGTGTGTGTGTGTGGGGAAGTCACAGGTTAGGGAACAAAGTGGGGCAGACGTACTCCTTGCTCTCTGCCTCTGGCATAGGACACCCCAGCATTCTAGATTGCCTGGTCATCACAATGCCCTGTGTCTCCTTCGGAATCAAGGGAAGAATAATTCAGATATTTTCAAAAGGTAGAGAGTTTCCACATCAAGGAATTTTGCCTCTCTCCCTGAAGTTAAGATTTCCGGATGTCATTTCAGGTACTGTGCACCAGCTATTTCTATTCTTGTTTTTGAGGTAGTTTGTGTGTGTGTGTGATTTGTTTTTCCACCCAGGCAAGCAGCACAAGATTTCCATCTTCCAAGTCAATGGTTCCTATTTGTTTTAATTTTAATATATCCATGAGCTGGAAAAACTATATGTGAGAAAAGAGTGAAAAGCTCATTAGTCTATCATCCTTGAAGGGAACTTTCAGAGTTTAGCTCAGTCTAGTCATAAACTTTAGACAATTATCTTTAGGGTTTCTGTCGAGACAATTAAACTAGATATAACCCTAAACAATCACCTAGCGATACCATCAACACTAACACAGATCTTTCCTCCAAACCCATGGACTTTGTAAGAGCTTCAGCTGATTGGCCTTATGAAAGTTCTACTTAATTGTCAAGACCCCCGAATTTGATCCCACCCTCCCTATCTACTGTTACGTCTTTAATGGTAGCTACTTAACACAACAACAAAACAAGTAATCTTCCAGTTAGGCTGTTTCACAAACAGTCCTGCAAGGCTCAGCTCAGTCTCCACATCCTTTGGGAAATGTCCCCGCCTCAAGCACCACTAACCTTTCTTTTCTCTGAATGGTGGGTTCTAAATCCCCAACTCTTCTCTTCCATTTCTAATAAGTAAAACATAGCAACTCCCTTTGGCTCTCTACTGATATACACACACTTTTCTCAGCTTCTGAGGCCTAATCTACAGACAAACATGGTCATATTGAGGGAGGATGTTTGCTCCTCCAACTCTCTCCCATTACTAACCCATGAATTAATTTTATTTTAGATCTTTATGGAGGTAAACCTCACCAACAGCATGGAATTAGAAGGTCACCTTCAAAGCCCTGGCTGGCATAGCTTAGTGGATTGAGCGCAGGCTGCGAACCAAAGTGTCGCAGGTTCGATTCCCAGTCAGGGCACATGCCTGGGTTGCAGGCCACAGCCCCCAGCAACTGCACATTGATGTTTCTCTCTCTCTATCTTTCTCCCTCCCTTCCCTCTCTAAAAAAATAAATAAATAAAATCTTTAAAAAAAAAAAAAAAGAAGGTCACCTTTAAATCGCTAGGCTAACTGTCTCCACTTTTACAGATGAGGAAACTGAGGCCCCAAGAGAGTTGTCCTCCTTGTTTCAGATTTAACATCACTTCCTCCTCCCTGCTGCCATTAGTCAACTGAACTGAAGCTCTTGAGGGCAAGGGTCCCCATGTCTGGTGCATTGTCTCCATCCAGAACCGCATCTCTCCGTCTCCTCTTGTTTCCCATACAGGATGGCAAACGCGGCTGAGCACAGGCTGTGTGCCTAGGAAACAATGTCTGGATTGAATTGAACCCCGTCACGAAGAGGACCATTTAGAGGCATTGAGTTTGGCCTCTGGGTGAATAATTGCTTCGGGTTGGCCCGCTGAGCAGCGAACAGCAATGGAACAAAAGACACCTACCATGTGTGTAGTCTTGTTTGCCCACCTATGTCGTAGATGTCATCTTATAGGAACGTATCTTGTAGCCCATAACACTTGGAACAGTGCTGGTTGCAGACTAAAGCCTCATTTAAAACCTTTCAACTGATGGACTGTCCTCAAATCAAAAACCAGATCTTGGTCCATGTTTCAGGCAACAGCTGGAGTAGCTTTTCTGAAAGAAAAGCACCAGGTTTTTCTTTCCGAGATAGGCACTGCAGGGCCGAGGAAGCGTTTTTCATGTGGCTCTATGCCTTAAATTGGCCTTGGAGAAAAGTATCTGGAATCTGCTGCTGCCTTTTAGATACCAAAGAATTATTTTGAAAGTGGTACCGTAAAAATGGATTTTTTGTTATTAGATAGCTTAAGGTAGTAGGACACATCGAAAGGACACAAATTTTATTTTGTTTCATCCACAATGTGTTGTTACCTGCTCCCCTTGGGGCTATTTTTAAGACCTTTGGCCTGAAATGGCCAATCCTTGAATGTGATCTGGTCCTGGGTTTGGGATTATTTGCACCATGCTATAGCCAATTGACCCACCAATGGCACAGCTTGGCTATTTCTACTTTTCTTAGTTTGGTCCTTACTCTGCTACCCTTATTTTTAAAGGAGAGAGGTCTTGTTGAGATAGTTGTAGGATCCTACTTAATTTGAGCTAGTTTAACCCCACAAATGAAAATATCTCCAAGGAGGAAGAAGGCCACTTATTTTAGTCATTAACCCAATCTTACTGCTGAGCACCCTCCACTGTGCTCAGGAGGTAAATGGGTTTAGTAAGAATCAGTCAAGGAATCCAAAATACTTTATTACTGAAGATTTTGACTTCTGCCCCTTGCCCTCTTTCCCACAAAGGGAGCTGGTATCTTGGTGGAGGGTGGGAAGGAAAATGAAAGTGCAGAGTATGAGATTATTTGCCATTGGTTATTATTTGTACTACCCCACTTCTATGAAGAGAAAATTATAGGTGGTTAGGAGCACTAGGGAGCCAGTAGTACAAGGTTGGTCATAAAAAACTGGAAATTTACTTGTAAAGTTCCACTAACTATATTCCTTCTATGGAATCATTGACTGATCATGGTGCACGCAGAACCATTTCCACCTGGAGAGGCAGGCATTCAAAACTATAGGTCATGTTCCAGGGTATTATGAGGGTCCAACTGTCTAAAAGAAGTTCCTTAAGCATTCTACTAGAGCACTTCCTTTGGTGGTCTGAAACCCCTAGGTTAGAAGAAATCAACTCATCAGATGTCTCCAAGAGGTCCGACTTGCTTAATTCTTCAGTCTGAGGTTTTGTTTTCCCCTGACACACAGGCTGAATAGTCCATCTTACTCTTTACTACCCATACATGTTTCACTTAGTGGCCACCTAAACTGTGCTTTTCTAATTCTAAGTCAGGCTCCCCAACTTCATTGAAAGAGATTGAGAGCATGCAGAAGAACAAGCCGCTGAGCAACTGGATGTTCTGCCTTTTTTTTTTTTTTTCAGGTTCTCATTTGGTAAACCAAAGACTTCTCTAACTAATGCAATTAAACTGGAGAAGGGAGTTGTGGACAATGATGAGGTAAGGAAGAGAATTAGCAAATGCTCATTTGTAATCTTTCCTTGGAGTTGCTTATTTTATAAGCCATGTCTTCCAAACTTTCTGCTGAGAGGCAGAAAAGGGTCAGGATTTATGCAGAAAGCAAGGTTAGTTGATCCAATTTTATGAGAGGGAAACAGACACGGAAGAAAGGAGAGACAGGGGACCAACAGGAGAGAAATAAATCAGGGCGCAAAACCCAGGGACCAGCGGCCGAATCCTAGGGTGCGAGTGAGCGTTCAACCCTGACTTACTAGAACTCATGGCCACCTCTAGCAGCAAAAGCTTGGTTACTTCCCCAGGTTTATTATACTTAAGTGAGTTTTCCAGGCCAACTTTTATTTTATCAGCCAGAGGGACTGCTATCCAACATAACAAAGCTCAAACCTACTCCAGTTTCGACACTTTGTGGGTTGCGTCATCTGCTGGAGACAGATTTGGAGCAGAGGTGCACTACCTCAGAAACATTCAGGAGTAAACACATTTTGCCCGGAGACCTTCCCCACTATAATTCATTAAAAACAAACAAACAAAACAAACCTATAATAATCTTTACACCTTTCCTACCAAAGAAATTTTCCTTAGACTTCTGTGCATACGATTCTAAATACCTGTTTTATAGGTCGTATCTGTGAGGCAGGTTTTTCACAATATGTTTCCGGTTTGAACAGAGAGACTTTAGTTTTCCAAAAGGTAATCAAAATTAAATGATCGCATCTTTGGATTTGCCCCACGTTTCATGTTGCGCTCCGGAAGGAATGCGTGCAGTGACTCTGCCGGGCTGAGGAGACCACGGCCTGCCCTCCCCCGCAGTTCTGCCGGGTTTCCTTCCACTCCCCCTCCTCACCTGCTTGCTTCAGCCACCGTTTCAAGCGCCTGTCCCCTTTCTTCCGGACCCCACCTTCCCACACATATCCCTTGGCGGGGACGTGGCAATCTCCAGAAATGCTGATCCAAATGCAGGATTATATGCCCCTCCACTTTTTCTGATTTCTGATATTGCTAAGGCCAAAGGAGGTAACTCAGCTTTTTCGCTTTGGGTTCTCATCCCTGTGACTTACTTATCCTCAGATAACCTAGGGCTGAGCTTGAGGCTGGGCAACACGCTGGGGTCAGCGGAGGGAGAAGCAGGTGGCCCGCCCGTGTCCCACCAGACAGGACACTCCACCTGTCAATCATCAGCACTACCACCAGCAGAAAAATGCAAAGTGGTGGACACAAGTGTTAGCAAAATTCAATTATTTTGGTAACATTTTGGGAAGAATCATACACCACAGAACCATTCAAAAATGAAAAAAAAAAGTGCAAAATGTTGTTTCTCCCTTCCTCTGTGAGCCTGCGTTCTCCCAGCCCACTTGGTGGTTATCCCCAGCGTTCCCTTCGCTCACAGCCCTTAAGCTATCGCCCTTTTTTGTGACTTGCTTTTCTCCTCAAAGGTTGTCCTCCATGTTGATTTTCAACTGATTTCACTCCTACAGAACTGAAAAGGCAGAAGAAGGAAGTTTGATCTTTGGAGAGATTCACCCCTGTCTGAACTTGGACACTGCCCTTGTCCACTTCCCCTCCTAGTAGCTCAGTGTGCCCGGTGCAAACCATAGGCACACGGTTCCCTTTACTTCATGGAAAGCAGGGACCCCATTTCAGTGAGAGGCAGGAATGGAACACTGTTTAGGATAGGTGCAGCGTGAAACCACTAATTTCGATTATTGTCTCTAGATTTTCGATCCAGGCGGGCAATCCAAATTCGTTCTCAAGAACCTTCAGCATTACACAGTCCATCCCCAACTGGTAAGTGGATAAAGGATTTCCCCCAAGAGCCCTAAAAGCAAGGTGCAGCGGTGGGACAGAGGCCCGCTGCAGAGTGTCCTCCAGGGACTGCCACTTCAGTGACTGCATGAGCCCCTAGGATGTGGGGGAGGGGGGTGCAGAGCTGCTCTGGAACACCGAGCCAGAGGCCATGCGGGGAAAGGTGGGGAGCAAGCAGGCAGGAACTGGGAAGAAGGTGGTCCCTGTGTCTGAAATATTCTTTTTAAGTTAAGGAAACATATTAATAATCAGAAGCTATTTCATTCTCTCCCCCTCCTTTCCTCCCTTTCCAAGCCTCTGCTTTCCTTCTGTTGACAGAAAAACAAATTTAGTGGGACTGCCCCTTCCCCCAACCCACATCGTAAGTGACATGCTGTCTTTTGTGACTGTTTGTCCTTTTTAACCTTGTGCTTATTATGCATGGCAATGTAGTCATGCCTGTGGGAAAATGTTGGTGGGTGGGAATGCTGGTATCACCCCCATTCTTAAAACTCCCTGGGTGAGAAGATGGGGGTGCTGGCCCTTCCACTCTCTGCCTCGGAGAGGTATAGAGAAGGCCTGTGAGGTTTAGCATAGAAACCTCGCTGTTTGCCTCACTGGGCTGAACAAATTCTGTTACACTCTTTCAGGAGAATTAAGTCATCTTTCTCCCTTTAATGTAGAAATCTCTCCATGTTATTTCCCCAGCCCCTCAGTCTATGTGTGGGGTATGCCCTGAGGGAAGAGAGGACCAGTGAGCTTCAGACATTTTCCTGATAAACACGCGTCAGAGCGGATTTGTCCAGTCCCTGTCCCGCCTTCGTCCCTACCCCATAGAGGCAGAAGACTAGCCAACTGATTGTTCATCTTCTCTTGACGTCATCCCTTTGTCTCCTGGACTCCTTTCTGTCTGTCTGCTCAGGGTCAGTACTATGAGCCCCTGAAGCCCAGCGCACTGCAGAAACTCATGGCTCGGAACAAGAAAGTCTTAAGCTTCACGCTCAAAGTCACGGAGTATGATCAGGATAAGACCTTACTGATCCTGACCAACAACCCACCTCCATCCCCGATGGGCCAGCAAGGAAAGGACCTCCCACCAAAATACTTTCCCAAGGAGTTCCTGCTCAAGGTAATGGCGCCTGGGGAAGTTTCCCCGCACCCTAAGGACCCTGAAGAATGTGGAGTTAGCTTGAAGAAGGAAGCTAACTTAACATAGTATTGGGGATCCAACCTTTTCCCTCTAATTCTTTGCCACATGCTTCACCGAACAGGATCGGGAGAGCCTAGGAAATACTCAGAGAAAGAGTTGGATGAGCTTGGGTCATGAAACTTCATTGCACAGAGAAAACAGAGGCTTTACTTGAGATTGTTTGTCCCCGGACAAAGATATTTAGTTTGTAATTGACAAAGGATAACCCACCCGATGCCTTTCTAGTTGCATATAAAGTAATACAGGATAAATTGAGAAATGAAAAATAAGGAACAGAAGTGAATACCTCAATGGGAAAGGAGTACAGGGTTATACTTTATACTCATTGCTTTTGGGTGTTAAGGGAAGAGGAACAGAGCAGGGAATTTACTATCACAGCATCCAGGCTTTTGGGACTCTGCTATATACTAAAGAAGTTCAAAGTCAATTTGATAACCAATCACTGAAAATACACTAATCAAAGAACTAAAATATAAAGATGATTACAGGACAGTTTCTACCTTGAAGGAGGTTGGGGTCTAACAGGAGAGACAGATCAATAAATGAGATCTATAAAAGTGATTATAATATAGCAGGGTATATGAATTATAAAAGAATATGCAAGATATAGACCTAATACACAATAAAGAACAATATTTCTTTTGGGAGAAAGGGAGTAATCAGAGAGGCTTTCCAGAAGAGATGACCCATGACAAGAGAAAAGGAGAATATTCCAATCAGAGTGAAGGGCAAAGACACGAGAAACTGAGGTACATTTAGGGAGCTGTGAGAAAGTAAATGGCAGCAGATAAAAGGATATAATCAAATCTACATTAATTTAGAAAGACCTTTTTTTGGAGGTCGGGAGGAAGATGCATTATTTGTGAGAGAGACAGAAATCAGAGATTAGTTAGGATGTTACTACAGTCATCAAGGTAAGCGGTGCTGAGAAATTGAACTAAATCAACAGCAGAGGAAGTGAAAAAATCAATTTAAGAGAGATTTAGGAATCAGGATCTAAAAACAAACTTGATACCCCTGTCCAGGTAGCTCAGTTGGTTAGAACGTCATCCAGATATGCCAAGGTTGGGGGTTTGGTCCCTGGTGAGAGGACCTACAAGAATCAATCACTGAGTGCATCAATAAGTGGAACAACCAATCAATGTTTCTATCTCTCCATCTCTCTCTCTCTCTTTCTCTCCGCCCCGTTTCCACTCTCTCTCTCTCAAATCAATCAATAAGAAAATAAAAAAAGATTTCGATAGTCTTGAGAGAGAACCTAATATAGCAAGAAGAAATCAAATGAGATGAGTAAAAGTGCAAACAAAGAATATAATTATAACAGAAATTTGAAGTTGGGAATGGAATTACCCAAGACAGATTTTTATAATAGAGTATGGTGAATTTGGAATTAGTATTTCCTTAGTTGCTACATGAATGGCAGTGAGAGGTTCCTTTCCGAATGGAAGATAAGATGCTAGTATCCAAAGGTATATGCTGACAAAGGAGTTAATAAAGAATTTCTTGCCTATGGTCTCTTTGGGCTAGAATTTGTGCCTTTGAATGTACACTCACTCAAAGTGGTTGCTTCTCAGGGTAAGGTAATACACACTGAGAGAGGGACAAATCCCCGGCCAGGACTGCGCTGCTCAAGGTAGAGATGGAAATGCAGGACTGTTGTGTAACCTTGGCACAAGAAGAGCTCTCTTCCAACAGCTGGCACTTGAGAGTCTTCCAGATCGCATGCAGGACCTGAACATACTTATGAGCAAATTGTGGTACCAGCCAGATTGTATTAATAGAGCTAAGGCTCCTCTTGTCAAAGACCTGCACCATGCTAATTTTATGTGGCTCTCTGAAACCAGTCCAAGAAAATGGAAATGCCCAGTATCTAGAATGCTTCTTTAATGTTTATGCTGCATCCCTTCCTTCTCTTGCCAGAAAATGTGACCATCTTTTGAGAGCCTAAGATCTTCCACTAAAGAAGCATTCTTTTGCCCAGGCATGTGTATTAAAAGATTGTGGGTTCCAGCTGGCAACTTGGAGAATGGAATAGATGGTTATACTGCCACTGTGATGGTTACACTCAGAACCCCTTCTAAGTGAAATGGACTGTACCACAGTCTGTGAAGGAAAGGGTGCCCTATAAGGTCCTATTTTGTATAATTAGGCTCGATCCTCTATTTCTAGCTGAGACCAGAGACGCACACCAGACCCAGTGAAGGAAAATGCGTTGGTCGGTGAGTGACCTGTGGTGGCCGCCACCATACCCAAACTGACCAAAAATGAAACCAGCCAACTTATCAACAACCCAATCCCTGACCTAATCAAATTTCTTGCTTCCAGGCATCTGAATTGGGAAAGGAAGAGATAGAGGCAGTGGCCATGAAAGCTGCGTAAGGACACAGAGAGGCCAAAAAGAAAGTAGCGTAGGGACCATAAGAACAGGAGAGGGGCAGGTTGAAGTTATAGGGAAATAAATATAAATGAATAAGCAGAAGCTATAGATAGAAAAAAGGTATACAGGGTAAGGTAAGCAGTGAACAAAGAGAGGAACAAGCAGGTAGGAAGAAGTAGGAGGGACATTAATGATATGATAGAGAATCAAGATACGTAAACTCATGCAGTGGTGGTCTTTAGCTAGTGCTGTCTTGGATTCCAAATAACTTTTCCATTCCTGTTTTTCTGCTATGAGATCAAACATTTATTACCAAATGTTTGGTTTACTAAGCAATTCAGTAATTGAATCCTCCTCAAAATGAATTCTTCTCTGGCTCTCTTCAAAGGGCCAGTGGGCATGTCAATCAATTACATAGGGAACTGACAAGTCATTTGGCAGGGAAACAAACATGTACTGGTCCATTCAGAACTGCTTCCTCCTCTTAAATTCTGAGTCCCCACTTCCTTCTCAGATAGGTGTGGTTGCATCATGTGGGAAATTGGAACTTAGTTCAAGAACTTAGTTCAGCTTCTAAGTCCCAAGGTCCGTGCTTCACTCCCTCACTTTCCTTCCCTCTGTTTCCTCAACAGCACAACACTGCTGAGAAGGTCTGCCTACTTTCAATGCCTCAGAAAAAAATGTTAAGACCTAAGCTGAAACCAGTCTTCCCTGTGACACTGTTGAAGGGTCCTGCATCCAAGCAAGAACAATGGTTTAGGTGAAGTCCTGGCTGCTCTTGTCATTTTCTTTCCTATCATTTCCTTATTCATGCTACCATTTCTTTTAGATATGATTGAATATTTTTTTGCCTGTAGGAAATAGGTACAAATGTATATTATTAATAAGACACAAAGACACAGCTTACTGCTCAGGCTGATGTGGTTCAGTTCGTTGGAGCATCATCCTGTAGACTGAAGGGTCATGGGTTTGATTCCTGGTTAGGGCACATACCCAGGTTGTGGATTCAATCCCCAGTCTGGATGCATGTGGTTCCCAGTCTGGGCACATACGGGAGCAACTGGTCAATGCTTCTCCCTCACCCTCCTCTCTCCCTTCTGCTTTCTCTAAAAAGCAATGGGAAAATGTCCTTGGGTGAAGATAAACAAATAAGACATGGCTTCCCTATATAATCCCCAACATCATTTATACTCTAATGAGAGAGAAACAGTAATGCACAGCTAAGGTTTTTTACTGATGAGGATTTTCAAGAGTGAAGAGAAATATTCAAAAGTCTATGAGTTGGGGAAACAGAAACATTCCCCCCGGCCCCATGCAGTGCATGATAAGGGCTCTAGCATGGAACAATGTGCTATGAGATTTCACTGGAAACTAGTTCTAGGAGCAGCCTGTATCTAGTGTGGAGAGGAGAGAGGAGAGCCTGAACTTCCTTTGCAGGTCTGCAAGGCTGGGATCTAAAAGCATCCCTTTCACCGAACAGTATTCCCACTCTGTACCAAGGAACACCTGCTAACATTGTCCTTGCTCCTCCCCTGGAATCTGGGAGTGTGGTGACTGGTTCTGCTAGCCCTAGGATTTACTAAAGGAGCTTTCTTTGTTAAGGTTTTCCACCGAGAATGATTTCAAGAGTGAAGGAAAATATTCGATGTTCTGTACTTTGAGGAAACAGAAAAACATGTACCCTCAGCTCACCTTTGCTCAAGTCTGTAACAGAGACACAGTAAAAGATGGTAAGCTCCTCTCTTGCAAAGCAGTGGCTTACAGGACAGACATGTGGGCAGGTGGGACAACCTATGGGGACAAGAGATAAGGGCAAATTGATGTCTCTTGTGGAGGTTCTGGGGACTGATTTTCCTTGTAGCACAGAAGCTAGGAACTGATAGAGGCTCAGGTGGGGCTAGGCTTTGGATTCTGTTTAAATCCTCAAATTTCAAGAAGCTGTTGCATGGTGCTTCCCACACTGTATCACCTAGCACTCTAAAAGCTTTGGTATATCAGTCTGTTAGTCACCCTGTTATTTTCTTACTGTTTTTGTCCTTGTCCTAATTAACACTCTATCATTAACATGGGTTTGATATACTAATTACATGTTTTTTTTCTGACATATATTTCATCAAATTTATAATAATTAAAATTTAAAATGTTTTTTAAAATTTAAAATTATCTCCTAGAACTATGCAGTGGTATACATATCACCCTCGAGGGAAACTGTTCTAGAGGGGCCCAAGGATAAATCTGTGTGTCTCAGAGATACACAAGTCTCTGTGGGAAGGAGGCAGGACCTGGGGTGGAAGGGGTTTGGGATAAGTCTGTGTGGAACGGAAGAATGTATAATGAAAATGCTCCTTACAAATGATCATTCATTTAAGGGCATTTATAGGGTGCCTAGTAAGTGTTAACACTTACTGAACATGTCCAGTGTATGGACAGACAGATGGGCCAGACTGTGAAGGATTATGTGATTAAGGGCTTGGGTTTTCTCCACGAAGCAGTTGGGACCCACTGAAGAACTGCAGAGCACCCAGTGGACATTTGTGTACTAGGAGTATAACTGATGGGCCCCCAGACTTCACCAGCTATGGCTTCAAGACAAGGTTATTTCCTCCTACAGGGTTCCTCTCCTCAAGCAATTTCTGGATCTCCCTGAAGTATGTTTAGCTGTTCCACAAGGCCACCCCAGTGATGGCTTAACACCTTTGCCAATTGTCCTATCCAAATAATCACTTTCCAGAGGTCCGTGGTCATATTTTACCATCCCTTTAATGGCTTCTTTGCTCCTCCTGTACCCATTTGCTACTTCCCACCCTGCCCACCTGCTTCCCATAGGTGCTCTCTTAGCTTCCCGTATTTAGCCAAAACCAAGCTGTGATATTTAACAATGCTTCATACATGGGGAGAGAAGTTAAAAAACAACAGGGAATGATTTTTCTTGCTTTAAAAAAAGGCTACTTGCTTTAAAATGGTCTCAGTTCCTTCATAGTCCCCAGCACATTAATCAAGCTTAGGAATCCCCTGGTTTATCTGTGCTCTCGCTGCCTGGGCTCCAATAACCTTGGCCCAAGGAAAGGGAAGAGGATCACTCCTTCCCCAAAACCTGTTTAAATTTCAGCCCAAGAAGAAACAAGTAGGAACATTTACAGATGCTCCCTGACTTTAATGACAGTTTGACTTATGATTTTCTGACTTTACAGAGGTGAAAAAGCAATATGCATTTAGTTAAAACTGGCTAGGCTAAGGTATGATGATCGGTAGGTTGAATTTTTGACTTAGATATTTTCAGTTAACAATGGGTTTATTGGGGCACAACCCCATTGTAAGTTGAGGACCATTTGTATTTCCTTCAGGGGAAACTCTACCTGGAAAGTAAAGTTTAAACTTTATAGGCCAGGTAAGGCGAACATAAGAGCTAATAGTACATTTAGTAAAGTTGGAGTTAAATTTTAAATGATACTGTATGTTGGATATCACAGTTCAGTTTAATCTAGAATCTAATCTAGATGAGAATTTCTCTAACTTTTCAAGGGCACAATTCTATTAAGGATACGTTCCATTTACATTTCTAACCAGAACACTTAATATCCCAGTCTGCAGCATTTTATAACAATAACAGTGACTTTACAGTTTCCCTAAAAAAGGGGGGTGGTACTGACTTGACTTATGTACCTAAAAGGGCCCATTATGATGCTTTTCCTTGGCAAAAACAATCTACTGTGAAGTTGAAAAAAAACATCTCCACTTCAAGTAAAAGCTCCATTGCTGGCAACCACTTCCTTCCGCCAATAATGTCCCATATTTACCAGGCATCCAAATGAAGAAAGATAAAAAATGGCTTGGATGGGGTCCATGAAGGCTGGCTAGGAGGCTGTTCAAGAGGCAGATGATAGGACAAGAATTAAGGTGTTATCAGTAGGACTAAGGAAATACATTGGAGGGATATTGACAAGGCACAGTGCATCAAAAAGTGTGGGGAGGGACGCTTCCAAGAACAGAGGAAAGAGAATCTGGATCAAGTGATGACATTGAAGCCAAATGTCGAGTTTCTTAGTTACATTCTCAGGCGGGAGACTGAAAACCAACACACACTTGAGGAAAAGGCTGAGGGATAGGAATGTACGAGTGAATGTACCTTAACTTAGTAAGTTACATGAATGTCAATATGATTTTGGATGGATCATTTGAAAGGGGTGAGATTAAACAGGGAAGACTAAACTGGCAGTGTGTTAAACTGGGTTTTAAAGAAGGTAACGAATCCAGAATTCCTATAAAGAATGCTGGGAATGGTAGTCCGGTAGTCCAAAATCTTTCCCCTTGCTAAGAGTAAAGACCCCTTTTCTCGTCCCTCCAAGTGGGTCAATTTCACGCCTCACGTTAAGTGTCCTAGCCCCTCTGGAAAGCCACATTCACCAAGAGGCACTGTGTTTTGTTGCAGTCTCCAAGAAGTCACAAAGTGGCACGGCGACTTCGAAGATTAAGTGGGAACCATTAACCCTTGAATCGCTTCTGGAGGAGAAGCCCACCAGAATCGCGCCTGGGGAGAAAGACTTCCGTTTTGGAAGGGCCCAGCATTGGTTCACTAAAAATACCGCTGCCATTAAGTAAAAACAAACACTTCAGGACTCTCGCCTCGGTCTCCAGAGAAGTCTGAGAGGCTAGCATCAGTCTCCGTCCAGGGCGTGTCAACCAAATAAAATTGCATTCTGCCCGCTTCGGGCACGTGTTGCCCAATCGCTCGCAGGGAGCGCCGGGGAGAGCCTCGGGTACCGACCAGTCACGGCAGGAGCCCCGAAGCGGGGACCTGGACCCAGCGCCGGGTCCGCCTCGGCTGGCTCTGGGTAGAAGAGAGGGCGTGGCCGCGTCCCCAGGGGACCGGAGCAGCCACGCCTGCCGCGGAGGGCGGGCCTTCTCTCCGAGTGACAGGAGGGCGGCCCAACCCGCGCCAGAGCACGGGGCCGGCCTTCCTGCAGCCTCTTCCGCTCGCCGGCTGAGGTGCCTGGGAAGGTTGCAGTGGGTCTGGGCGCTGGGAAGTGGTCCAAGATGATTAAAAAATTCGACAAGAAGGACGAGGAGTCTGGTACGCGCAGGGCTTCTGACGCCCACCCTCCGCCGTGGGGGGGTCCCTTCCCCTCCAGCCGCCACTTGCTCTCAGGGATGCGGACCGGGGGGCGTGGGCGCCGGTGTGCCAGGGGGCCGGTTCCAGCAGGGGGCCTGCCCCTAGCCCCTCCCCCGGCTCCGGTGCGCTCCCCCCCACCTCGGTCGCGCGCTCCAGCCCAGCCCCCCCACCAAGCGCCTCATCAGCTTGCTTGGCGGCCCCGCCCCCTCCCTCTCCTCTTCCCCCTTCCCCACTGCCTCCCCTTTCTCCCGGCGCTTCTCTTCCTAGCCGTCTCCTTCCCGCTCGCCCCGGGTGGGCTGCTCGCGTTGGCGGCGGGCGCTGGGCAGGTGGCGGAGGGAATGGGTGTGCGCTTGTAAGAGGCTAGGGGTGCTGGTAGTGTGGGGCCTAGAATGGGTCTCAAGTCCACGGGACCGTGTTGTGTGTGTACATGAACTTTGAGGTGCCTTGTACCTTAGTCTTCCCGGGGACCTTTACACTATTTGCTTCCCACGGGGCAATACTCTCATGGTACATAGGTCATTCAATGTATCCATTAGTGGCGTCTTGATACTTTGGTCCAGAGCAAAAGGGGAAGATATCAAGCCACCTTACAAACAAAACAGAAAACTCTGCGTTTGATAGTTGCTCTCATAAAGAGCGGTAGAAGCCTGGGTTAGTAAAAACTCCATGGTCCCTTCCACCTTTAAGTTTATATGATTATCTGCTAAACTCTTCTGCTTCATAGTAAATGTTAAAAACACATAAAATGGTGCTTGCCTTTAGGGAACCCCAAAGGGCCCTACCACAATCTTACTAATCTTGGTTGTGTGGACATGACATATTTGTAACATTCATGTAAAAATGGACAGGAGAAGGAAGACAATCATTTCAGGCAAGTTTCCTGCAAAAGTGCAAAATCTTACAGGGAAGCAATGACAAATAGTTTCAGAATCAAAATGATTATATTTAATTTATACACAGATATCCAAGTGGCCACTTCTCTTAGGTAAGCTATCCCAAGCATTCAGTACCCTTCTATAGAAAAGAAGTTTGTGTAGGACAGCTATTAAAGACATGTTTTGTTTTATGCTATAGGCAGTGGCTCCAATCCTTTTCGGCATCTGGAGAAGAGTGCGGTCTTACAGGAGGTATGGCTCGGAAGTCATTGTGTTTCCATTCCGTTTTAGAATGGTGGGCAGAGAGCCCCTGGAATGTTGAGATCCAAAATCAGAATTGTGGAGTATAACTAACTGAGTTCAGAGAATAATCACTTGAGGGAAAAGGATGAGGGGTTGCTCATCAAAGGAGAGAGAGAGGCAAAAACATGCAGCCTGTGCCACATGTTGAGAATTTTAAATAAAATGCCAGAAGAGGTGTTTAGTGTAAGGTTATTGAAGGAAGTTACAGATATTAAACTCATTGTATTTAAGTGATGTAGATGAATATTATGATTCCTACTTAACAGGTAGAGCCTACCAAGTTGAAGCGAAGCATTAGACTTAAGGGAAAGAGAGTGTATAGAATGGAAAATCAAGGCCACATCTAATAATGTATCATATACCATATACTAAGTTGAAAACTATAGGTAGCTAACATTATTTGGTTATTGTAATTAAAATATATAATAGTCTTTTTTCAAATTAAAGTTGATTTTCTGTAATCCGAGATGGAAAAAGTAGAAAACATACTATGTGTAACTTCTTTGTTTCCAGGCTCGTCTATTCAATGAAACGCCCATCAATCCAAGAAGATGTTTGCATATTCTTACAAAGATTCTCTACTTACTGAACCAGGTAAATTATTTTGATTTTCTTCAGATTTGTGTCCTGGAATAGAAATACATAAGATGTAGTAAAGTACTCTTTGGAAAGTGGAATCATTTTTTAAAAATTTACCTATTCAAAAAAATCTACAATGTTGCTTAACATAATACGTGAAACTTCTTGAGGACAGGGATTGTGACATATACTGTACTTTGCTGTGTATAATGCGCACCCATGTTTTTGGCCTAAACTTTCAGGAAAACTTTCAATTTTAATTTTTAATTCAACCATTTATTTATTTACTTATTTATTTATTTATTTTTAGATACTTGCCTTTTGTATTATAAAGGAATTTTAGCATTGTTTTTTAACATATTATGGTACAAGAAATTTTATGTAACAAATAATTACAAACACAAGAACAGATACAAGGTACAAGAAATTTTCAAAAGAATTAAAAACATATAGATACAGGAATAGTACTATGCATGTATAATACACATCTATTTATTTTTCCTTAAAAATTTGGGCAAAATGAGCATTATACGCTGCAAAATATTTTATTTCTTTTTATTTATGAGATACTAAAGCAGTTAAGCACATAGTAGATTCTCAACATTGACTTGAATTTAACAAGTATTAGTTAATGTTAAAACATGTTATTTAGAATTGTTCAGAAGTCATTATGTTCCTCCAGAAATATAATACAAAGCCTTAAACATATTCTAAATAGCTATTTTACCCTTTTGGGAGTGTGAGTGGGTATATAGTGATATTTTAAGTCTTTGCTTTTAATATTCAGATTTTACATTTATTATCTTTACTCCACCTTACAACAATATGATTCTAGGCTTAACCATTTAGTGCCTTAATGTCCTTTTCTATAAATGGGAATAATAATCATCATATTTGTTTTATAAAGTTGTAGTGATTAAATGAGATAACAGATGTAAAGTGTTGAGAATAGTCCTTGATACATAGTGAGCATTCAGGAATAGTTTTCATTCAGTCATTCAGCAAATATTTATTACACGTTTGCTGTATCTTACGTACTGTTTTAGACACTGGAAAGATCGCAGACAAAAACCAACAAAAATATTGGCTCTAAATGAAATAGGTTCTGTTTTCAGTTATTATTAATTTTTATTTTTTTGTTGTTTTTGACTTAAAATCTCATGAAATGTGTAGGACCTCTGAAAATGTGAGTTTGTTTCCTAGACATGTACATGCACACCCCCGCCCCCCCCAACACACACCCTCAGATGGTTTACATATGGCGCTAAGAAGACTATGGTTTCCAATTTGAATTCCATGAGAATATTTTATCTTACTATGTTTCATGACTGAAGACCTCATCCAGAGACATAATAAAATTTTGTAGTTTGCAAATAGATATTGAGCAACAAGTACATACTTTTAAGTAAAGTTCACAAAGTCATATTCCTCTGTGGTAGCATATTGGAAACATTTAAGTTATGTGTCCAACTTAGCTAAATCCATCATATAAGCAGGGTTTTGAGTGGTTGGCGTTAGTCCAGAGGAGCATATACTTTTGTATTGGCCAACAGCTCTTTGATGGGCAACTCATGTTGAAACATTTAATTATCTTGATAAGGAAATTACCAAGCATAGTCTGGTGCATAAACAGGTTTGGGAACCTTCTTTTTTTCTTTTGCCTAGATCCTGGGAGAGCTTTATGGAAAAATACTTTTTAAAGTATTTTAAATACTTTTAAATTTCTACCAGAGTTGACATACCCATATGTTCTGAGTTTTAAGTCAAGTAGGGACTAAAGTTTTACTAATATGAGTGAAAAGTACATGGATTTCTAGGTATTCAGGAAATAGTTATGAAAGAAGGAGGGAAATCTCCTGCTGGTGAGCAATCTGGATATTCTGATTGAAGCAATTGGAAACTATTATACTTTGTCTTTCATCCTAAACTTTCAAAGTTTTCCCATCAAAATTGGCTTGTTGTTAGACCCATGACAGACAGAGGGAAGACTGTGAATATTCTGTGTAAAATCTGAAGTTCCGAAAGTGGTTGGGGCTACCATGTTTCATAGGATTGAATGAAGAGACTGAATATTGAAATGGTAATGCTTCAGGTGTCTTGTGACCTGCATTGTCTGGACTATAAGTGAAACAGGTTATTTCACATCTTGTTACTCAAAAAATGTGTTTCCCATATTGGCAGCATTCTCATTACTGGGAACCACTCGGAGCCGTTGAGTCAGAAGCTGTGTTTTGGCAAGATCCTCAGCTGGTTTACCGAGCACACTGAAGTTCTCGTGCAAAGCATGTTTTTAGGGGCTTGAGCCAGTATTTTGAGATCTGTTAGCAGCCCCTTAAGCCTTTTATATAAGTAATCTGGTTTCTGCCCTTTTAGTGGGTCTCTTTAAGTTATGTTTTCTGGATTCCTAGTAGTTCTTTACAGTTTAATATTCATGATATTCCTATTCGGTATGATCTGTGCTTGTAGGCAGTGTAATGATAACATTGCAGTCTGATTAGGAACTCAGCTTGGTATTATTTTCTACCTCCTTATAAATCATAGTTCTTCAAAAAAATTAAAATAGTTCCTGCAGTAAAGTTGGAGAGCACTATTTTAGAACTTTCATAGCAGGTGTGTGCTACTGAATTATTTTAAATAAGGAGCAGGGAAATGGCTGTGCCAGAAAAATAGCAAAAAGGCAGAATGTCTACAAATAGATTTTTTTGTCCTGCATTCTGAAAGAGTTTTGCAGA